ATTATTATTAGTAATTTATTATTAATTATTTGTTATATTTTTCATGTATTAATATAATATTATTTCTTTTTAAATTATTATTATTATTATTATTATTATTATTATTATTATCTGAAATGGGGGGTCGTTTTTTCCTCCCCAAAAATGAGGAAGAGAAGCCTCTATTTGAGGTCACCCTAAAAATAAGACCAAGTTTATGGGAACTGTTGGAGACAGTTTTTGAGAGAAAATCTCTATTTTTGAGATAAAAAAGAGAAATAGGGAGGCTCTTGAAGATGCTCTTATGTACACATATATGTACACTATTATGTACTTGTAGCATTACTCTTTTTAAAAATCCAAATTAAATACACTAGCATTCCTAAAATCAAACAAGTCTTTAACAATTCAGAATAAATGTACACCTCTACAATTTTCAAGATTGAATTAATGAGATAATTCCAAATGTAGTGTTCTTTCTTTGAACATAACGGAGTTGTTTCTTCATAACATTCTCGTTATACTCTACCATAAATCATAATAATAACTTGCAGGATGATTGAGTCAAACTCCCGATAAATCAAAGTAATTTATTTTATTTTATGAATTATGATACAGTTTCTAAAAATACATAGGAATAGGAATAACGCGCACTATTTTATCCCAAATAAAAGCAGCTCACAACAAACACAATTTCCAGTTAAATCAATGCATGCCCAAAACCAAACTCATAATACTCGAGAAACCTGCAACATTGAGCTCGAAACACACAATACACAACCTAAACAAAAGCATAACACTCAATTACTCCCACCGAAAGAAAAGGAGACGCTACAACAGAACCATAAAACCCCAAAATCCAAAGAAGCCAACCTAGTTCTTGCTGTGAACGTCAAGAGCAGGAAAACAACTGACCAATATCTCAGCTGCCTGTTCCAACTCCTCTCTAGTGATAACCAATGGGGGCAGAATCCGAACGACATTCCCTTTACCGGCAGTCAACACGAGAAGCCCCGACTCCCGGCAGGCATCGACCAATGGCGATGCAGCTACGTCGAGCTCTATCCCGATAATCAGCCCGAAACCTCGTATCTCCACAACACGAGGGTTTTTTCCAATTTTTTTCACCAATAAATCTTGAAAATAGCATCCTTTTTCTGCGACGTCGGATAAAAAGATCGGGCTCGAGATTTTGTCAAGAACGGAAATTCCAGCACTGCAAACGAGAGGGTTGCCGGCGAAAGTGCTGCCGTGGTCCCCGAAACTGATGGCCGAGGCGACTTTTTCGGTCACTAATACGGCCCCAATTGGGAGGCCTCCGGCTAGGGGCTTAGCTAGAGTCATCATGTCAGGGTATACATGGAAGGCTTCGTGGGCCCAGAGGTAGCCCGTACGGCCCAGACCGCATTGTACCTGGATGGTGGACCAATAGGATAGGTTTGATTATGTACACCAATTTTTTTGTAAGGAATCAGCGGATCGTACACCTTATAGAGCCATCCACAATCATCACAAATACTGTACTTACACGTCCAAAAATAAATTTATTCTTGGACATCATTCGCCATCAGTGTATCGATCGACACGTGTATCCAAAACTAAATATGCTTGGGACGTGTTAGCAACACACAAGTCATGGATAACTCCGTAAGGCAACCATCCGCTGGCTCCATAGAGATTATGGTATATATGCACATATATTGTTAAGAAAATTGTTATGAGCATTAATTTTAAAAATTTTGGATTCAATTATATAATATGGAACAATTGCAACTGCTACAGTGGAGATTTGGGCCTTCAACAACATTAAGAATTAAAAAAAAAAAAACCACCATCGAGGTTTGGTTAACGGCATAATATTTCAAATCTACAGCTCCTCATCCACATCCACCACATGAGACTATTGGGTTATCCTGGGGTCCATTAACGGACATGCCATAATATCCCAGTAGTTCAGGAAACTTCTGATGAAGATGAAATGAAATGAGCCTTTGAATCTAATATAATGCCTATAATTTCTATTTTTATCGACTTCATTTCAGGAGAGAAGTATCCTGTCATGTCAATTTCAGGAAAGAAGAATATTGCCAAATCAATGGAAAACACACAAAGAAAAGCTCCCGAAAGCACCTCTATGTTGGACCATTATAATGATTTCAAAACTATCTTCGAACATTCATGCCAAATCATAGTCATATCATAAATCAACATGTATGATTTCAGAAAGCCATCCCAATGCTATGAACGTTGTAACACATTCTGGTTGTCAAATAAGGCACACATGGAGATGTCAACATATACAGCTCGTATTTCTGAGCATATTTGCTCTTTTTCTAGAAGAATAGCAGATAATTGTCTTCCTTATAGAAAAATAGCAGATAATTTGTCTTCCTTATATGTAACCAAGGGATAATAATTACAAAACCGAACTCTGAGATTTGGGGGTATCTATGAGGAAAACATACATAACTATGAAAATTAAGAAAAATCAGATGGACTTTCTTCTTTCATCAAATAGTTTACAATCACACCCTCAAACTTTTTAAATATTAAACAATAACCCCAACTTTACATTGCCCATTGTACTGTAAATAAAAATTGTGGGATGATAGTGTAGAAGTGAGATGAAAACTTGAGTTCATTAGTAATACTCCGCAATAGACAAGGATCGAACAGTAAAACGTAAAAGAATTCCATTAAGTGGATTAATGTGAAATGTGAAATGTGAAATGCGAAATGCGAAATGCCAAACAATCTTAAACTCGAGGTGGCAGGTTGAGCAAATTTTTAAGCTGTTTTTATTTTTTGGTTTCCTGGAGTCTGTTTTCTTTTTCATTTTCTTTTCGGTAATTTGACCTAACCTTAGATATATCTTTATTTTTCAATTATCCCATTAATTAGCATTAGATGAAATAAACAGTGTCCCTTGCTATGAAAATAAAAATGATTACCTCATCAAAAACGAGAAGACACCCAGCATCATCACAGGCAGCACGCACGGCCGTCAAGAATTCCTTGGTTGCACTGTGTATGCCACCTTCCCCTTGAATGGGCTCCACAAACACAGCTGCAATCTTCCCTGTCTGAATAAGCTCTACTGTTGCCTTAGTGTCTCCATAGTCCAAGAAAGTGACTCCGGGCATTATTGGCTCGAAAGGCTTCCTGTAATGCTCTTTGCTTGTCAGCGCTAGAGCACCAATTGTCCGGCCGTGAAAGGAATTTGTGAAGGAAATGAACTTCACTGGAGGGTCGTTCTCATCCGAGCGTGTAAACCTTTGGAACTTTCTGGAGAACTTGATTGCAGCTTCGTTGGCTTCGGTTCCAGAATTGCAGAAGAAGACCCGGTCGGCAAAAGAGCCTGTGACCAGACGTTTTGCAAGCTCCACCTGAAAAAGTAGTAGCCCAAGGTTTTTAGCAAAAATACAAAAGCAATGCAAATACGATAATCACAAACTTAGATTTATTAATTTGGGAAATGTTCTGAACCCAATTGTGGCAATAAACTGCTACGAAAACCAGAAAAGATAATATTTGCTTACAAGTTTCTAAGTAAATTCAAACCTTCTTTAAAATTACGTGGGGTCTAGAAATTCCTAATTGGTAAAACCAAGAGAAGTTCAGCTTCGTTTTACGGGCTTTTATTGGTTCTTAACCTTAGGAGTAGTCTTACCTATAAAACCTATATTCCACATGGCTGCTTAGCCTTTTCTGGTAGCCGATAGAACGGAATGAAACCTATATTCCTACTGACTGGGTTCGAATTGATCATTTATGTTAAAAGGAGATCAGAAAGTTGATTAGTGTCGATGAAGTAAGTGTGACCCTTTGGGATAAATGAGCAGGATACAGATAGCATTTTCAGGTAGGTGCATCATGCATCTTTCAGATTCATATCAACAACATTTTCTTTTAACATTCCTAAGTACCAACATTTCCACAGAAAATACCCATGAAACTTGAAGTCCATACAATAACCTTAAGATTATATATGTAAAAAATTTAAACAAAAGATTGGGCCTAACTTTAAGGGCGGAAAAAAATGTGGATACACCCTTCTATCTGCAAACCTAGCATCCTCAGTTAAAAAGGTCTACACAAGCTAGAAGTAGAATTTTGTACTCAACACCATCCATCATCAATCAATCAATCAATTAATGAACAATCAAATCATTCATTCATTCAACAAGCCGTTAAAATTTCACTAAGTGAGATCGGCTATAAGGATCACATGTTGCCATCGTGCTACATCAAACATTTCAAGTTTTCTTCGTTCTACCCCTACCTCTTTTAATTTGCGTTCTCAATTCTAATGTTTCTACCATTCTCACCGATGCCTCAAAGTCTCTCCTACGCACATGCATAAATAATCTTAATCGTGATTCTCTCATTTTCTCCTCCATGGGCGTTACCCCAACTTTATTTCTAATACTTTCATTTCTAATCTTATCTAACCTAGTATGCCCACACATCCATTGCAACATTATCATCTCTGTCACTCGCATTTTTTTATCATTTTAGCCCAAGACTCGGAACTATAAAGTATCGCAGGTCGAATGGCCGTTCGATAGAAATTGCCTATCAAACTCACCGGTACTTTACGATCACAAAGTATCGACGATGCGCTCCTCCACTTGTTCTAACCCGACTGAATTCTATGTGTTACATCCTTATCTATGTCGCCATTATCTTCTAGAAAGGACCCTAGATATTTAAAACTTTTAGATGAGTTCAATTCGTGTTCCCCAATTTTAACCTTTACCCATTATTAGTCCTTTGATTACTAAAATTACAATCCATAGATTATGTTTTGGCCCTGCATATTTCGAAACCCTTTGTTCCAAACGCATCTCTCCATGTTTCTACCTTAGCATTTACACCCTCTCTCGTCTCATCTACTAACACTGCGACACACAGGTCAGGTTGTTTATATTTCACCCATAATATCGGAGTTAAAAGGTTCTTAACCCCCAAATAAACAGCAAACAATTCCAGCAAAACTAAGGCCAATACAAGTCAGTGTTCAGCACTACAAGATGGTGCAAGTATATATATAAAACATCCCAATTGCCATCATAATAAACCACCTAAACCTTTTCAGTAATGGACACACAAGAATAAAAATAAATGTGAACCCCATCAAACATTCATTATAAAACTGGCAACATATGCTTACTTCCTTTCTTGGAACATGTGTAACAAGATTAAAGGTCCTAAGAGAATAAAAATCCAAATCGTTTCATATTGAAAGGACCCGTTCCCAAATTCAAAACAAAAACAAAAACATTTTCTTGTTAAGGGAAGGATGAACTCTTTACCTGTGGAACAGAGTAATAGACGTTGCTGACATGCGTTAGCACATCAGCTTGCTGTGTGACGGCCCGCAGCCAATCAGGGTCACCATGGCCCAAGGCATTGACGGCAATGCCGGACGACAGGTCCAGATACTCTCGCCCTTCAACATCGTATAACTTACAGCCTTTGCCACTCGAAAGAACCAGCGGCGCCCTGGAGTAGGTCCCCACTATAAATTTTTTCTCGTCCGCAATTATTTCCAAGCTTCTCTTGTCGAGAATTGGCGGGTTGTGGGATGAATCTGGTGCGCGCACGTCCACGTTGAGGCACGCTAGGGGCGCGACGGTGCAATTGGAGCGTTTTGAGGTTAGGGAGCGGCTGAGGGCCGGCGACAGTGGGTTGCTCAGAGAAAGAAGCGTTGACCAACTCATTGAGGCGAGAAATTAGCAGTGCGTTTAGTGTTTAGGTAAGGTGGGTGTAAGGAGCAGTTAGCTGCGGGGCGGCGACCCGGCGGAGGAGGTGGCGTACCCGTTTTTAGGTTGTGAAACCTTTCGCTTCTCTGTGTGGTGGAAATAATAGCGGTTTGACGGAAATCACAAAAGGTGGGCTGGGTGGAGAATTAACACTCTGCCAAACAAATTTTTAAAGTTTGGTGTAGACATGGCCAGGTGCCGGGTTTTGGCCCGGCCCGGCCCGGCCCGGCGGGCCACGGGCCAACCAACCCGCGGACCGCAACCGGCCCGCTAAAAACCAAGGACTAGTTTACAGAACTGGCTCGAACCACCGGTTCACCGGCCCGGAGGTTCACCCACGGGTACGGCCCTTGAAAAACCCAAAGATTTTGGCCTGACCCGGCCCGAACGACCGGTACCAAAAAAAAAAGAGAATCGTAACCGGCCCGCTTTGGGCCCGGTCCGGTTCACTAACCGGCCACTGTTCATGCCGGTGCCAGTGCCGTTGTCGGTTCGGGCCGGGCCAGTACCGGTTCCGGTTCACGGTTCGGGCCACGGGCCGGTTCGGCCCGTGGCCATGTCTAGTTTGGTGTCCATGTAATATATAATTTTCGAATAAGTCGAGTTTAAGTGGCAATTCGCATATTTCAAGATCTTATAAGATAAATTTTTATTCTTTATTGTTTTTATTTTTCGAAACGATAGAGAAGTTATATTAATAACACAAACAAGAACAACGTTCGAATACAAGCCAACCCAACGGGTTAATGTCACACCTAAAGACTAAAAATGGGAAGCACACATGAAAGTGGCTTAGAACCAAGACACACAAGAACAAGAGACTATAACATGACCACTGCAAGAAGCCTAGCCATCTATCAATCTCTCCAAACTGCAACTACACAGACAAACTAGAAGAAAAAATCAAGGAGAACAAATCAACTGGCCAATGCTACTTCAAACCTCTGAATTCCATCCAAGCTTGATGAGCTTTTGAGATCACCAACTAGATTGGCATTTTAACATTTTCAAAGATCCAAAGATTCCTAGATTTCCACAACCACCATAAAAGGTAGTTCTGAGTTGGATCCTATCCTCAGCTGTTGGGTTCTGTTAGGAACGTCAAACAA